AAAGCAATGCTGTATGCTTCCTGTTAGCACACCAGGGGCCTCATAACACTGATTGTCCCAGAATTACTGATGCTAAGTTGGAAAACTAGGTGAAGGAGGGAACAGTCAGATCTGCCCATTGTAGAAGTAGGTATTTCTTCTTGTGACTGGCAAATCATCTGTTGGTTGTTTGGCAAAATAACTCACAGTCTATCGCTATCTACAGTTTAACAAACACATTCAATAGCATCCCTGTAACGTTTTGTTCCTATTTAACAGAAGTGAAAACTGAGACTTGGGGTGTTTAACAACTTTCCAAAGTCATAGGGCCAGCAAAAGCAGGACTCAAGTAAGCATAAATGAGTTCAGTTTGGCTCAGTTAAATTTTTTAAAAATCCTAAATTGCCTACACCTAACTGCAGATTTTCCTAGTGTATTCCCCAGAATTCAACAACTAATCATCTCCTTTTAAAAATGTCTTCTAAAAGAGGATATTCTTCTTTACTTTCTCTGTACTGGGAAGCACATTGTCAAGGAAAAGCAATTTGTTTTACAGTATCAGGTATTTCTACTGCTTATTTATTTATTTATTAAGATTTATGCATACAAGAACTGGGATATAAGCCAGAGGTGGGGGGTGGGGGAAGGGTGAGAGGGTTCACCAGAAACAGAGTGGGGAACAGAACAGGTGGCCTGACTGAAACACACTGCTGAGAGGAGCAGCAGGGAGGGAGGTCTGCTGCCCCATGTGGGTCACCTCCCTGGCTGGGGATGGAACTCCTGCAGCAGTGGCTGCGGATAGCTTCACAGTGCTGCGCTTAACTCCTTGTGCCACTACTACCTGTTTAAGCCGGCAAAATGTAACAGGTGCAAGATATCCCAAAGTACAGGCTTTTTGGCTGTTTTTGCAACAGTTGTTTACAACATCGAAACAGTGAGTTACTTAACTTGTGGCTTCCACAAATCCACGAACAGAAAAGTAAATTCATCGAAAATAACTACTGCTTGTGCAAGGTGAGGCGCACACATGTGCGCGTAGCATGTTAGCGCCATGGGCCCTTAGAAGGCCAGAGGAACGGGTGGCAAGCAGGCGCGGTGTCAGGTCCCGGGAAATCTATTTTCTTCTCACAGCTAGGTCAGCAACTCTAAGGACAGAATTAGGAGAAGCATATGACGGCCCAGAACCAGGAGCTAAGGGGTTGGTGAATGTGGACAAAGCAAGGAAGGGAGCTGAGGATCACGGACCAAGGAGAGAACTGGGGAGGCTATGGCTGGGCTGGCCCGTGAATCCAGGCCTCCAGTTCCGAGGCAGCTGCTGGAGGCGGCCCTCGAGGGAGAGACTCGGGCGGAGGCTGACAGCTGGCAGTCGCTCCTCCTAACGAGAAGTTCGGGTCTTAATTCAGAAAGAGGGAAATGCAACATCTTGGAGACGCTGACTAACAGTCGCCTTGCACCGACTTCCCCAAAGCTGGAAGCCAGCCGGCACGCCCCCCAGCGCTCTTCCCAATTTTCATTGGTTGCCCAGACCTGCCCCTCTGCCAACAGGCCTCTGTTATTGGTCAGAAGGTTTTCACAGACAATTTCCTAAGCCAATCATCTTTAATCACCGTCCCAACGCCGCCAGGTGAGTGACATTCATGCCAACCAATAAAAAATGAAGATGAGACGTGCCTCGAAAACTCCTCCTCTTTCCCCTCTGCTCGCTCAGTCTATGGTAGAAAAAGGTGGAGTTGCTGATTTCAACCACCAATCCTTAAGGGCGGAAGAGGGACGAAGAGAAGAGAGTTGGGAGCGGGTGACGTGGCGGTGACGGGAACATCAACCGAAAGGAGTGGCGGAAGCACTAGCCAATCAGCGATCAACTCGGCCGGGCACTCTGCATTCAGGACTCCACCCTAGCGCCGGAGACTGCGGGGAAGCGCCAATGAGCTCGCCCGTGCGTCTGATTGGCCTTCGCGCGAACCAATCAGCGGCGTGCCTGGCGGCCGCGTTTCCCTCCCCCCCGACCTCTTTCTGGGCGGTGTGGCATGACAGGCCGGAGAGGAATACCAATGTGCTGGGGGTCTCCCGCAAGTGACACTGCGCGGTGCCAATCGACTCCTTCCTTCCTGGCGGCCGAGCCCTCCTCCCCGCGGCGGGCCTGGCGGGGCGGGGACGCGGCGCGGCGGCGG